ATGGGAATCCGACATCCACATTATTGTGTGGTGAAGTAGGTTTATTCTTTGGATAGACTGGTAATGGACAAACCGTCACAAATTAGGAGATCTTTTCAATTAGCCAGTCAATGTGACAAAATGTGTTCTTGATCGGTGTGTGCACGTCAAACGTTTATTAGTGATCACACTACGTCGGTAGACGCTTTCCCGTGTATGATCTCATCCTGTCTTTTCTTTATGTGGTCTAGCAGCTGCCTGAATGAGACCCTCACTTATTATGGTGTTCCATATTGACAGCCTAATTTACGCAGAATTCCGTTCAAAGGTAATCACACAATGATATTGGGAAGCTTATTGCGGCACGCTGCTATTTCCCCTAAAATAAGTATGTGAAAGATTCACCAGCTTTTCATTTGGCATAAGCTTGACGTCGAGTTTCAATAATAAATGTGAAGAGCAATCCGAAATGAGATCAATTTGACTTACCTTTTTAGGCAGGCAACCCTTGTTCATCGAGACCCGCATCTCGTTGCAGTGGTGTAAGTGTGCTTCCTGAGTTGTAAATGCTTGATTAAATGTTCGATTGAATCAGAGTACGTTTAGGAATCTCTTCACGACGAAAACAACATAGACAAGTTACAAATGTCTCAGTCGAATTTGGGTAGCGAAGTTGTTGTTGAGGTATCGGTGTGGAGTCATTATTCAAGTTTTTTTTTATATTAGTGCTCTTTCTGCGTTATGATTGAACTATCCCTAAGTCTAGTGCGTTAGGTATCTTTCTTCCTTTCACGAAACTTCGGTATTTAGAGCTTCTTGCACGTAACCATTTTGGTGAGCTTTTGCTGTTCTGATAGTTCCGTCAGAAATATAGTGAACATGTTTACATTTCTATCACCGCACTTTACCATTTGTAGTCTTAACAAACATAAACTGATCGGGCTGGTTTTTTAACCTGCAAAAATAATTGGCCGGGGGGGGGCATACCAGCGCTACACATTAAGGTAGCTGGATAGGTTTTTCCCGGAAAAGATTAGATACGTATTGATTAGGAGTAGAACAACAATAGAACATTGGTAGACTAGTCTAATCGATTAATGCATATCCAGTAATTCCAGCGTAATCTCTCATTTTACTACTGCTTTAATCTACTGATCTAATCTTCCATTCGGTGTCGCCTACCGTCCTAGTCTCTCCTGTCGTGAACCATGAACGCGACCTAAGAGAGTTCCCACTTTCATTAAGCCTCAGAGGGACCTTGCTATCGCGCCGCCGCGCGCCTCATTAATATATTCAAGGGGAGCAGTAAAAAAAGACATTTTGTTACCAAAATCAAGTGGATTTAATCACACTTTGCTAAATTCAACCGAATGCTCACAACTTCGAGTTGAAGAGCTTCATGAGGAAAGTCTCATAGTGGCCTTTTATGTCGACTGAGGATCGGGCAAGGGGGAACATGGTGCAAAAATTCAAACAAAGACTCCTGATTTTTGGGGCCCCATTTTCGTAATTGGCTATAGGACAAGCTCCTCTACGGCTCACTTCTTGTGCACATAATCTTAGCAGCTGCTCGGAATATCCCATGAAACGATTTGCTAGTTTTTTACAAGTTTGAATTGGAATTTTTCAGAGATCAGAATTAGACGCACCAAAGCCTGCTGCCAGGCGTTCACTGCAAGCAATTCCAGCGACGTGTTCACGTTCACGGACGTCCTCTCAAAATATCATTCATGGCTTTGAGACTAGCGGAGGCGGGCTTTGGTACCACTTCTCGGTATGGGATATGATTATAACTTCGTCAAGATATACTAGATAGATTACTGGAGGAGCGCGCAAGAAATCAAAGCTGCTAGCTTTCATATACAGCAGTTTGGTGAACTTTGGTGTGTATCAGTAGGTAGCGGTGCAAAGTCGAGAACATTTGCGTGCTACGCGGAAAGTATTAGGTTGTCTCATAAGTAGTGTCGCTTTTTTTCAACCAAAAAATTTTCATCTAAATCCCCATGCTTTTACATCATTCATATACCATTCGAAAGAGAATTGTCTGCTCTACAAGATGCTATGTTCCTCTTCCACCTCTGTTCCAGGGTTTTCAAATTTTAGGCCTGCGAAATGGGAGGTCCAGCCGACAAAAATTGACCAAACCGACAACTAGCTCTAACTTTATCTTCCCTTGGGAGAAATCAATCAATGATGTACCCTCTACTTACACATGACCTCTTCTAAACATTACACTATTAGGTTTCCCAACAAGTCGCGTCGTTCCATTTCCAGACCTGGTTTTTCAACCAGAACTCGACGGTCGAGCACCATTACCTGAGATCTAGGTCGAAATTTTTTTACAGCCGAGACATTGAAAAACTAGTAGAATTTCAAACAAGTCATGACTAAGTTAGGAAGGTAATTTTCTCACCTTCTCGAAGGAATTTTTTTTCAAAGTAATGCGGTCTTTTTCGTGGACAAAACACCTTACCGCGCGAACCTGAAATTCGGTCTAATTCGCAACAAATTTAGAAACAAAACAATGGGCGAGTAGAGCGGAGGAAGTGCTCACAAATGAAACACTTTTTGATTTTAGTCGATGACGTTTCACGAGAAAAATTTCAATATACAGAACCCTAAGCTAGTCGTCACAATTCGAAAAGAAATACGGCAAAACTTTTCGGCAACCTATGCGCGGGTTGTTTGGGAGAGGTCATGGGTAAGGAGAGGGTACATCATTGATTGGTTTCTCCCAAGGGAAGATAAAGTTAGAGCTAGCCGTCAGTTTGGCAATTTCATCGGACTGGACTCCCATTTGAGGCCTACGTTGAAACCCTGCAACAACGGTGGAAGAGAAACACAGCAGCTTGTAGTGCAACAATTCTCTTTCGAATGGTATGTGCCATGGTGTAAAAGCATGGGGATTCAGAAGAAAATTTTCGGTAAAAAAAAGCAACACTACCTATGAGACAACCTAAGTATATGGTATATAGCGTCAACTTGGTCATTGCTATAGCTGAAACACAGCCACTAAATAGCTCTAATTGCGCTGGGTATCTGGATGAGTGAATAGGTATATAAAGGCGAATGGATTTCGATCATACGTGAAGTGCAACCGTGCAGCATCACCTGTAATCTGCACTGCCTGCTCCGTCCCGTCATGTACACACAGCTATTCGAGCCTGCTCTTTGCACATCAGAATTCTGAACAAACCCAAAGCTCCTCATCAAGCAACAACAACAAAGAAGATCGTCCATCGGGGACTGGACCAGCTAGCAGAGCGAAACCACAAACTACTCAGATCTCTCTGAAGAAGGTATTGAATGAGCTAATTCCAAGGTCACTTCGGTAAATATCTGGTTGAAGTGTCAACAATATTCGACATAAAGTGTATTGAATCCTTGGATCTCTTAGGAAACCCAGCGGCAGCCGTTCTCACAAGACAGCAAAAGTACATTCCTTCGTCCCTCGCGCACGTCTCCAATAGACCGGTTGCTGCGACACACCGGAGAGTGGTCCTATATAGCTCATGCAAGCAACAGTTGAGAAATACCATTCCTTCTCACTTCTGAAGTGTATTACTGCATTTATCTAATTCATTTTCCAATACGTTTTGTAAATTGAATAATGACGGGTCCAAAATATGAGTGGTCCTCCTTGAACAGAATCATGACTCCTATTCCACAGCCCACATCTCGAAGTCTGAGTAGTCATGTCACAGGAAATGACGCGCCAGGCGCCGCACTTGACAGAAGTCGCGCGGATAAGTTGCTTCCAGCCTGCTTTGCTGATTTCCAGCGAAATTCTATGGAAGTAGATTATACGCTACATTATCCACGCTACTTTTATCAAGTGCGGCGTCCGTAGATCCGCCCAATCAGACATTGAATGTGATCTGTATAATGCTGGTGATAAGGCTTACTGTTGTCATATGCTTAATGGTTCTGTTTGAAGCCTGAGCGATCGAAAACAACGCACTCGATCTATTTAATTAAACGGCGGGGTTGTGCATGTTTTAATGAGTTCTGTTATAGCCATTCCGACCAACCGCCGAGCATGAACGCACTCCTTTAGCTGTGAAAGCTGGCTCACGTACTCATATGTCAAACGTTGAGAGCGGTATTACGCCAACTTTCCATGAAGTATGTGCTGTTGTGGTGCATTTGAATTCGTTTAACTTGCTTTCCAAATCTTTATCCACATTCAATTTTCAGGCAACTGTAGATATGGATTCACAACTTCTGACCATTCCAGTTCAAAGTGCTCCTGAGTCGAAAATTGAGAGTGATGTTAGTTTTTTTTTGTTTTTGGAAATTTTCGAGAACAGTGTGTAATGTTTTTGATTGTTAACTGCTGTTTTTGGCCGCAGTTCGCCTTGCGAATGTTTCACAAGAATGCTGGGTTGTGAACAAAACTTTCGCCCCAGGCGGGACTAGAACCCGCACCTCTTGCTTCCGGGCAAGTGCGCTACCAGTTACGCTACCGGATCACCATTTCATTCAAATCAAATAAAATTATTGATTTTGTATTGAAAGATAATTGATACATTCAGATTGTAAAACCAACTCAGCTTTTTGAAGCGTGACCGGTAGCGCATTTGCCCGGTAAGCAAAAGGATGCGGGTTCGAGTTCCGTCTGGGGCGAAATTATGTTCACAACCCAGCATTCCCGTGAAAGTATGTAATGCGCTAGGTTATATGATAAGGAGAACTATCAATAACTGTATTATAAATAATGCTGAAGTTCGGGAATCGTTTTGTGCAAATGACACTTTCCAGATGGAACCACCAAGCCGAACACCCTCGCTTAGAAGCCTTGACATAAATCCACCTGCTGATGTTGCACCCGCCTTAGTGGTGACAGACGCTCTCACGGTTGGTTTTTATTCGTAATGGTTGTCAACCATTGAGCGTGCATTAATATCAAACTTATGACATCCCGATAGTTGTCCCAGTTCTAGGCTTTTGTCGCTATCGCATTTGAACTCCAATGCTGGTGACTTCTCTATCGTTCAAGTTCCGCACTGTTTCAGTTTCGAATCATTTATTTGGGAAGCTCAGTCATTCTTCCTTGAAGCTGCTTTTTTTTCTACTTAGCGCGCGCGTGAAATATGCGGAATGTGTGGAAACTGCGGAAAGCGTCGCCCAGTTGGCACTTGATTGGAGAGTCTGGCTTTTGGTTGGAGAGCCCCTCCCCCACCCTGCCTGCTAACGGCATGTATTCATGGGCATTCTGTATGTTTCGTTCTTCCACGCGGGAGCAGTGTATAAAAGCGGCGTAGCATTTGTGAATACGCCAGCTCTGTGTATCTAATTCGAGAAATTGTCATGCTGAGCGAATTAGCTGCAGAACTTAGCAGAACTTAGAGCTGTAGCAGAAGCATTCAAAAACACCGGAGTAGTAGTAATGGAGACGACAGTAAACATCCCACTTTGCGTTAACTCAATTCTACAGCTCTTCTTGCTTTTGCGCAGCCTCACCGAATTCTATCCAGACAAGGTGGACATGTGTCCAGCGTCTTTCTGCACATCTTGGGCAGAGCGTTGCTTCCATGACGCAAAGGAATTCAGCGTTTTGAACTCCGGCAACAGCCAAAATTACGAATGTTGCCGCGTTCGCCAAAAAAATCAATCGACGTCATTTCGCTTACAGTGGCCAGTAGAGCAGCTACCAATTTGATCTCACAGGAAATGAATGAGATCAGCTTGACAGCTGGCCTGGATCCGAGTGCAGCAAGGCTTCGCCGAAGGTGGGTCTGGACGCATCCCTCATTCTTGACCGTGAGGATTGCCGCATTGGCCGGAGTGAAAACGCAGTTTCGGAGACCCATCCATGAGCGGGCTCGCTACACCTATCCCGTGACTTTCAATTTCTTCTTGGAGTTGCTGCGCGAAAACACAATGTTTCGTGTTCCTCAAACGAGCAGAATCCAGTGGAGTTCCTGAAACATGAAGGAATTCGAAGCTAATTGATTGTCATTTCGTGTTCGACCAGTGTGATATAGGTATCTTGCAATGTGTCTGTCTGCTTGTAGAAGTTCTATTCGCGAGTTCACTTTTCCAACACAAATGATAATGCATCTGAAAGCATTAGTCACTGCTCTTAATGTTACTTGCTCTCTCCACACCTGTTTTGCTTTTTTTCTTCGTTTTATGGCACGAAATGTATATGTTGAATACTTCTATGAACTGTTTTTCAGCCGAAAAGAGCTCCGCTTGATTTTGAAGATCAAGACGATTACAACTCGCCAGCTGGTTTGAACAGGACTCATTTTTCGCGGCCAACATACCACAGACGACGATTCAAAGAGGTGCTTGTGAGGCCGGCTTTATATGGTTGAGAATGACTCGATACGTTTATAAAAGGACGTATAAGTACCACATGTGGGTAGTGGAATGAAAAGCACAGGAAACGTGGCTGGCAATGGGGGCTCTCAAGGATGTCCTATAGTCTATTAGTTACTCTTCATTGAGTGCGTGGCGGACTTTGTAAAGTTTGAGGACAAACTGGATCTTTTTTTCAGCATTGTAAAGACGTCAACGAACTTTTTTGGAGCGCGGAGAAATTCCCACCAGTCGTCCATTGAACGAGCTTTGCGTTATTGCGATTTAGATGGGTTTAGCTACTGGACTACATCAAGTTGTGCGCGCTCTTCCTTAGTGGTAGGAATCCGGGTGCGGGTGATTTATTGCTTACAAAGCTCATCACTTGCGATGTTAGAAACCATAATTGATATATGATTGTTCAATATTAGGTTGATCTTGAACTATCCGCTGATTATTTAGGCTAACGGTTTTGCTGATTTTGGTGATTATTTTCTTATCGTTTTGATGTTGTTTGGGAGCGAATAATTTTTCATACATTTTGTTATGTACGGCTCACGTATAAGTTGAGCTTAAAACCGCTTGCTAGTGAAGCTGCTATCAGATTTTGTAAAATTGGGTAAAGCTCCTATCAGACTGTGTAAAATGGGTAATGGTAAGCTCAGAGGACGATTACAAGATAAGGACGAAGGTCTAAGAAGAGGAAACCTACCCAGTGGAAAGAGGCAGGCCTGTTTCGGGTACGGACCGACACTCAATTTGCATCGTGTGATATGCCCCCGGCGATCTAGTATGGCCTCCGCGGCGCATTTCACGCGCTGTTACCGCGGTACACCCCTCCCTCGTCGTCTCGCGTTTGAGTCTCTCATTTAGCAGCCGATAGAGAGAGAAAGAGCGCGCGTTAGCTTTGAAGAGGGCAGCATTGATGAGAGTCGCATATATGCGCTATACAACGGGTCTCATCTCTCGGGTACTAGGCCATTTCTCGGTTTCTCTTTCGTGTAGCACTGACCATAACCCATTTTCCAATGATTTGCGTTTTCACGGTGAATTCCTCCTTTGACCTACAACGCATCGAAACTATTGTCGCATATTGTCCAGAATTTCTGTCAACTGTAGTCGAGGCGAGTCAACATTTTGTAGTGCTATCTAGTGTCTGGGAACTCTCCCTCATGCCACTACTGCAGCATCTCTGCTTTTTTTATTGCTTCGGAAGTCTTAGTTCTGAAGCTGCCCAAATCGAATGCATTTCTATTCACACTCTCATCAATAGACGGAGTTCATGTAACCTGTATGAATCCTTATAATTTAAAATTCATAAAAAGGCGCTCATGACCTTGGAGGGGAGGGGGCGGATAATTTACATGTTAGCCATGTTTAGACGTGTTGGGACATTTTGAACCTGTTCCAAACATGTATTGACCTGTATTAGACATGTGTCACCGTGTATTAGAGCAGTTTATATGAACTGAGCGGCGATATCATC